ACCGTCATGGCGACACTTCTCCGTGACCCGAACATCGATAATTACGACATCATTGCTATTCAGGAACCCTGGAGGAACCCCTACAGCGCAACGACGCACCATCCGGCCAAGGATCGGTTCCACCTGTGCTACCCCTCGAGCGAGGAAAATGGCCCGGCCAGGGTCTGCTTCTTCATCAACAAGAAGCTCGAGCACTCTCGTTGGCAGTTTAGGGAGGTCAGCAGAGACCTCTGCACTCTGGTTATTGCAACAGATGACGATGCCGAAACAAGCCTAGTGCTACATAATGTGTACAACCCGTCACCGCGGGAGGAAGATCGACAGCCGGTCCTACAGCAGCTACGAACAACACTGGAAACACACCAGCACGTCGAGCAAATCGTCGTCGGTGACTTCAACCTACACCATGAGCTGTGGGGAGGCAGCGATATCCGAGCGCCGGACCGCAAAGCAACCGAGCTTCTAGATCTAATGGACGACATGAACCTCACGAGTCAACTAAGAGCGGGAACGATTACGTACGAAGAAGGAGACCGCCGGACAACCATCGACCTCTGTCTCGTTACCGTAGGTCTTGTTGACCGAATGATCAGATGCGAAGTAGATCACAACATCAACCATGACTCCGATCATCTACCCATAGCAACGTCGCTGCACCTAGCAGTGACCGAGCTACAGCGAGAGGAGAAACGAAAGTGGGAAGCTATTGATAAGGAAAAGTTTATCGAGACTCTCCGTGGATCGCTGCCGCAGCTACGAAGGCCAAGAACGAAGGCGGCGCTCGACAGATATGTAGAGACATCCATAGACGCCCTCTCAGCCGCTATCAAAGCCGCGGTCCCGACCAGCACCCTTTCACCAAAGTCTAGGAGAGGCTGGGACGAGCAGTGCGCAGCCATCCTGGCCGAGACGAAGCGACTCCGCCGCGACCACAGCAAGCGACAGACAGAGGAGAGCTGGGAGGCATACAGAACAGCACGCAACAGGAAAGGACGCATCATCAAGAAAGCTCTCCAACAAGGACACCGCGAAGCAGTCGAAACAGCGGCCGAGTCAC